TCCTCAGGCCACCCCCGAGGGTAGTTACGTGCGTTCCTGTGTGCAGGTTCCCAGTAGCTGGACCTAGCCTTCCTCCAGTCAAAACCCTTGGATTCGGAACGGAACACTTATTTTCCATCTCCTAAATATTTGATAATCATTATTTTTCTACCTTAAATCGTTCTTGATTATTCCCCATGCAAAGCCATTTTCCATATTATTTTCATAACAACATATTTTCCATAAATTAATTATTCCTTAATCACCATAATATTAAACTTTCCTTAATTCTTTATCTCTCTTCTCCGAGTAATTTCCTTAAACTAATTTACCATAATTCTTCTTATATTTTTCTACCATAACTATTGCATGAGTTAGCCTATAAATACCCCTTATAGCTAAATAATCACACCAAAACTCTATAATTTCTCCTTTAATCTCTCTATTTATGTCCTATCTTTCTCTTGCTCTTGCACGGCCACCACCACTGGCTGCCACCTCCTCTGGCCAGCTGCCCACGTCAGCCACTGCCGCCGACCACAGCAACCAGACGATTGCCGCCCCATTGCTGCCACCTCTCTTCTTCGTCTCTTCTCTTAATTAATTATTATCATTATTATTGGGGTTTTATAAAAATTATTATGAGTGTTTTTAATAAAATAAAAATTTTTTATTTTTCAAGTTGGATGATAAATACAACTTTAATATTATTTATTTATTATTTAAGTTTATAAAAATTGGTCCTAAAAAGATTAAAATTTGAATAAAATAAAAATTGTGGGTAGACTTAAGAGGCATATAGGATAGAGTTCGCAATTGTGTGTGAAAGTCAAAAGCTTTATTTTTACATAAAAACTATTTTCCTGTTTATGGAAAGATGATTGGGAAAAGGATGCTCGGGTTCTCTATAGAGGCCTATAATGGGTACGAATCTCTGTCTAGGTAAGGGTCGCCTAGATGTTATAGGTAACTTACCTGGGAGACACGGGCTTGACCGCTCTATATCATGAATCAAGTACAGTATTATTATTTTTGAAAACCAAAAAGAATTGAAAGTATTTGAATCTTTAGTTTGTGTGCTTATATGTGCATTAAAGTTGGTGTTAAAACACCTTAGTTTATGGTTATAGGTCCGAAATTTTTGGAGTTCTTGTCCATGGTTGGGTGATCTTGAGTTATACTTGGTTGATTAAGTTATGAATTCCTTTAAATGGATTTTTGAGTTGAATTGTTTATGTGATTTAGCATTGAATTGATTGTTTTACATGTGTTTGTGAAACAGATGAAAGTGATTGATGAAATGAGAAAGAAATACTTTAACTTGCACTACTTAAAAGATGATGGAGTCACTGTTAGTGAGTTTATGCCTAACATTATTACTTTGGCCTTAACCCTCTATGAAAAATATGGATTGAAAGCTTTGACCCAACCACCTTAGATGGTTCTTTTGGCCTTAGCCCATCTATCGAGAGTTCTCAAATATGAACCTTTGTTTGACAAGTATGGGGATGTGATCAAGACTAATGAGTTGTGGAATGAAAAACACCATCATGAAGGGAAGTGGTTAGCAAGCATGTCTAGCCTTAAAAGAGACTTGCACTATGTTGAACGTGATTATAAGCCTAAGAGGAGAATTGTGAGATTTCCCAAACTTTCAAAGACTGGTACCTTGAGAGAAGATGACCAAATGTACTACTTAAATGTCAAACTACCTTTTTCATACCAAAAGGGTCCTCATGATGAATTTGTGTCATCCAGTGATGAGTCCATACCACCTCTTGGAAGGAGCAAGAATTATCTTTCTCCTACTCGTACTCCAAGCTATGAATCTCCAAAGCGTCCCAGCCCAAGTTCATTTTCATGTTGCAAAAAGGCCTAAAACTCGTACCCAAGAAGTCAATCAAAATCCACCAAGTCCAGTATATCATCCAAAGCCCAATGCTTCTTCAAATCAACCTCGTGGTAGTATTAGCCTAGTCAAAAGCCCAAGTTACTCTCCTTATGCAAGATAGGATGATACTCTAAGCTAGGATGAATATGCTAAGAGTGTCGCTTGAATAACTGAACTATGTTATGTTTATTACTTTCAATAATTACCTTAGATGGAAAAGTTGTAATTTTATTTTATTATTAAAGAAATGAAGTTATTTATTGAAATTTTCTATATGATATTAAGTGATTTAAATGCTTATGTGAGTAGAGCTTGTTTTAATTTTCAATGTATGATAATTATACCCAAGAAGTATGTCTGTAAGGATGAGAAACCAAATGGGAAGTAAGCGCACTGGTCCAAAGTAAGGAAGGTGCTTAGAAAGCTAACCCATATCATTGAAAACATCACAAAAGTGGTGAACAAAGGAAACCGAAATTCTAACCTTAACTCTTATAGTAAAATAATAAAGAGAGTTGATGTAGCCAAACCACCTGTTTACTTGGAAAGGATGACCCAGCCAGTCTTGAAAACTGAATTAGGGAGTTTGACAATAGCTGTTTGATGCAATCAATTGCCCAAGTGAGTTGAGGGTTAACACTATTATTATTAGGAAGTTTTGAATTATCACCACAAAAAAAAAGCAAAAATGAATTTTAACACTAAAAAAAAAAAAAAAAAAAAAAAAAAAAAAAAAAAAAAAAAAACCTTATTTTAACACTATCAAAACTAAAAATTTTTGATTTTACCACCACTTAACTATTGCTGTCTAAAAATCCGTTTAGTGGGGTCTATCCTAAACTAACCTAGCCAACCTATCCTCACTGTTGGCACGGCGACACCGACCACTACCCCACCCAAACACCTCTATTTCCAGCCCCAATCATTGCATACTCATTCCCCTCCCTTTCCCCCTCCTAAAACCGATAAAACCTCCCAACGACCGCTTAAAACGATCGTTTTTTAACCGACCACCAATAACGGTCACTAAAGGTCGAATTCAACCGGTTTACGGCATAAGTGGTCGATTTCAACCATAAACCAGTCGTTTTTTTTTACCCTTAGCAATCGTTTTTGGTTGCGCGATTTTGGGTGGTTCGAAAAACGGCCACCCGTGTTTGGTGCTCGTTAGGATAGGGTTGTCGATTTTAGTGACGGAGAAATGGAGAGGGCGGAAAATCCATAGGTTGGGGCTGTGAATGCGGGTGTTTGGGTGGGGCAGTGGTCGGTATCGCCCAGCCGGTGGTATGGATGCGGTCGCTGGGTTAGTTTAGAGTTTTTGTTTTTTATTTTTTTTTATTATTTTCTTCCAATAATATGCTGACATGTAAGCATTGTGGACCCCACTAACGGATTCCATCCATGAATCAATTAAGTGATGGTAAACGCCAATTTATAAAAAAATTTGTGGCGTTAAAATAAATTAAATTCCTTATTATTATGAAGAATTAAGGTTCATATGTGCTTTGGGATTTTAGAAAATTATATCAATTTGAAAAATTCCCCAAATTCGAGATAAACCCTAAACCAAATTTGAAATAAACCCCAAATTATCTCGTGTGAGCTTAAATTATGTTGAATTAAGTAACAAATCATTTCCCTTAACTCAATTTTAATGATTGTTGAAAAAAAAACAATCAAACATGAGATTCGAGGCCTCAATAATGATGTCATGCGTGAGGCGGTGAGGGATTGAACAATTTAGTGGGAAAATTTAATGTTTTTAATAGTAGGTTTTTTTTTAGGGGAAGGGGAGGGGAAAATTGGTGATAAAACAAATAAACTCTTAAAATACAAGTGTTATTTAGAAATCATATAACTAATATATAAAGCTAAACTTTTAGCCAGTCCACGAGGCAGCGACACTTGGCGTTCCAAATTTTCGCCAAGTGTCGAGCTACGTTAGATGGATTTAGATAAACTTTCTATGATAAAAAAATTAGATTAGAATTCTATTTTTAATCAAATTTGGATAAAATTATTAGTTTAGAGATTTATAATCGATAAGATACCAATATTACAGAGGTACAAATTGAATTATAATTTTATTCAAAAAAAAAAGTTAGATTATAATTCTAAAAAATTATCATATAAATTTATTTTTTGTATCATAATATTTTTTTGAAGCAAAGGAAGTAGTTCAAAACATAAAACATCTATTTATAATAATATACTTCATAATCTAATACAATTTTATTACTATTTAGACCTGCCAATTAAGGTCGAGTCATGAGTCATCTCGGATCGGGTCATTTCAGGTTACAGGTGAAGAAATGCTCAACCAAATTTTTGGGTTCGGGTCAACCCAACATGCTTTGAACAATTTTTTTAATTTAAATTAATTTTTGCTATTTTTTTTTGTGTATTTAATCGAACATTTTCACCAATATTATTATTATTCATTACATGTCTACTACATAGCAAATTTGATTAAAAATTTGATTTTGTGTATTTTAAAATTTGACATATAGATTAAAAATTTATCTTAAAATTCAATAATCAATCTGGACATTGCACATGCACAAAACTAGTAAAGTAGGTAGTAAAACTAAAACAAATAAAAAAATCGGTGATTATTAGTAATACAAGAAAGATAGTTGGTACGAGGGATTCAACTATTAAAGAAACTCTCTCTAATGTCTGCGAACCAAGCCCCCCTAACCCCCCCCCCCTTAATCGAACATTTTCACCAATATTATTATTATTCATTACATGTCTACTACATAGCAAATTTGATTAAAAATTTGATTTTGTGTATTTTAAAATTTGACATATAGATTAAAAATTTATCTTAAAATTCAATAATCAATCTCGACATTGCACATGCACAAAACTAGTAAAGTAGGTAGTAAAACTAAAACAAATAAAAAAATCGGTGATTATTAGTAATACAAGAAAGATAGTTGGTACGAGGGATTCAACTATTAAAGAAACTCTCTCTAATGTCTGCGAACCAAGCCCCCCTAAACCCCCCCCCCCCCCCCCCCCCCCCCTCCAAATGGTCGATCAATCGATCAGATCGAACAAGACACCAAAACGAAAAATCACACAATTCATTTTTGGCCAAGATTCTGTGAACACTGATCAAAATATGGAAATTGACATGGGAAAGGATGGATCCAATGAGGAATCCCCCTCTATGGGTCATAACATCCGAAAATTCCATTCTCAACCAAATGGAGTTGCTGTGACTCCAAGATCCTTTAGAGATCTCCTAAGGGACACTCAATTAGCTAATCAGAATGCTACTGATGGGTTAATCGATTTGGAGGATGAGGATGATGTCTCTGATGATGATGAAGCTCCTGAGGGGATTGTGGATAGTGAGCGATGTCCTATAATCTTGCTAACAAAAGAGGAAAATAAGGTAATGCGTAAACCTTGGCGTAATACCTTAATAATCAGAATGTTTGATGGAAGTCTTGGGTACATGGGATTGATGAAGAAGCTTAAGAGAAAATGGCAATTGAAAGGTGATATGAGCCTGACTGCTATTGGTTCGAAATACTTCATTGCTCGATTCTCAAACTCAGAGGATTACAATTATGTCTTGACCCAAGGTCCTTGGCTGATAGATGATAAATATCTAACTATCAGGAAATGGACTCCAAATTTCATCCCAAAAGAGGCATCTATTTCTGTATTGACTGTTTGGGTTAGGATTCCTAATCTTTCTATCGAATATTTCGATAAAGAATTTTTGAAAAAAATTGGTTCTAAGATAGGAAAAGTAATCCGAGTTGATAAGTCCACAACTTATGCTGAGAGGGGACAATTCACTAGGTTGAGTTTTGAGATCGACCTTGCCAAAACTCTCTTAGCCAAGTTCTGGTTGAAAGGGAAGATATGGAGAATTCAGTATGAAGGAATCAAAATGGTGTGCTATAGATGTGGGAAAATGGGTCATGCTGAAGACCAATGCGCCTCGATGATGGTGAATGACAATATGGTGGTGGATAATGTCAATAAGCAGCTTGAGAATGTGATCCAGGCAACCTCTCCTCCTCCAGTGAAAAGGCCGGAAGAGCAACATGAATATGGTGACTAGATGTTGGTCAAGAAACCTGGCCGGAGAAAAAATTCTAAGCCGGAAAAAACAGGGCAAAATACCAATAAGGGCACTAATGGAATTCCAATGGAGCAAGGTCAACACAAAGATACTGTCAACATGATTAATGGCAAAAATCTTGGGGGATCTCGATTTCATGCGCTAAATGAGGATTCTTCTTCAGATGATATAGCAAGAGAGAAAAATAAGGAAGCAGTTGATCTCACTAAGAGCTCAAATTCGATTGTGAACCAATCTGATTTAAACTCTCCAACTCAGCATGATAACTATATGGCAACAACTAATCTAGGAGATAGCTCTCAAAATCCCTTAAATAATTCCCAAGAAAATCTATCTTTTAATTATGGAAAAGATAAGTCCAACCAAAATAAAAATCCCCTTGTTACCAAAATTAAGAAAAAAAAAGTACCCAAGCAGCCAATACTCAAAAGGAAATTAATTATTCCCCTTTGACTCCTATTACCAATTTGGAAGTGAATAACCAAGCTACTCCAAAGACCATTAGCCTCGGCAAAGAGAACCAACAGCCCTTACCAAGCAATCCCGAAAAGCAAATACTAGAAAAAGCAAACCAAGAAGCAACTCGTGAAGTAGTCAATGATGCAGTTCCAGAGTCCACCACTAATGCTTCCCCCACCGCCGAATGTGATCAAGTTATCAATTCCTCCGGAGAAGACACTATGTGTTGGACAGCCAATGGAGATGCCTTATTTGGGCATAGCAAACCCCCTGATTCATGTGATGGAGGTGAATAATGTTTCATGGGAGGAACCGATTCCGGAACCGATTCCGGAACCGATGGAACTAGTAGTAACTTTGAAAGTTTCAGTGGAGATCAACAGAATTCTTAACCACATCCGAGGTGCTTATGTAAGTTCTCTCAAAAATATTCCTATGTCTATAGAAGATAGTATTCCTAATCTAGCTCCCAATAGCCCTCCCATTACTTGTATGGTTTGGAATGTACAAGGGGAGGGTAGTAAAGAATTCATCTATGCTTTGAAGGAAGTAATAAAAGTTAATAAGCCTAATGTCTTCGCCTTGGTTTAAACTCATATGGGGGGACAACAAGCAGAAAAAATAGCTTCTATTCTTGGGTATGCAGGGCATACTAGAGTAGATGCTCAAGGGTTTAGTGGTGGGATTTGGGTTTTTTGGAGGCCTAAACTTGTCACTGTCGAACCAATTATCAAACATAGACAATACATAACTATGGATATTAATAGGGTGGGTGAGACACCTTGGTATTTTACTGCGGTTTACGCAATTCCGGATCCGACTAAGCGTAATGAATTATGGCAAGAATAACAAAATTTTGCAGCTCAAAATAACAAACCCTGGCTTTTAGCAGGGGACTTTAATGAAACTCGATTTTCTTTGGAAAGAAGCTCGAGTTGCAATGAAACCTCTCGTAGAACTGTTATCTTTAATGAATGGGTTCAGGATATGGAACTACTTGAGGTGGAGTTTAGTGGACCTTCTCATACATGGGCTAGGGGTAACTCTGTCGAAAATAGAACTAGTGCACGTTTGGATAGAGCCTTGTGTAATGGCGAATGGAGTTTAAAATTTGCTAATGCTGCTTCAAAGAATCTGCCTGCTGTAAGGTCTGACCACTGCCCTGTTTTGATTTCTCCGAATGGCTTCGTTCCAATCTCAAGTGTTAACAAACCCTTTAGATTCCAAGCCGCTTGGATGAATCATGAAAATTCCGAGCTTTTATTGAAGAGAAGTGGGATAAAGACGTCCCTCTAATTCCGCATCTACAAAAAATAGCAACTGATCTTCAAAACTGGAATCAATCAGTCTTCCATAATATTTTCAGGAAGAAGCGCGTACTGTTAGCACGCATAGCAGGGGTACAAAAATGTCTTTCAGAGCAAAGATCAAGAGACATGATTAAATTGGAGTCCAGCTGAGAAAAGAGTTAGATGAAATTCTTGAGCAGGAGGAATTGTTATGGTACCAGAAATCGAGAGTTGATTGGCTTCGTGAAGGTGACAAAAATACCACTTTTTTCATTTAAGTACTATCACTCGTCGATGGAGAAACAAAATCAGTGCAATCAAAGAAAATTCTGATAAAGATTTGATTCATGACAAGGATCAGATTCAACGTGTAATTGTTGATTATTTCCAGCAATTATTTAAAGCCGAAGATGAGCTCGAGCATGGTACCCTCCCAACTGATATTTTCCCTGAATTTACTACGAGGGATTGGAATGCTCTGTCAAGACCCTTCACTCAATGCAAAATTGATAAAGTTGTTGAAGAGATGGGGGCTCTAAAGGCCCCTGGCCCCGACGGTTTTCAAGTGTTGTTCTTTCGCAAGCATTGGGATCTAGTTGCTAATAATGTGTATGAAGTGGCACTCAAAGTGTTGGCTGGCAAGGGTCTTCCTGATAACCTCAACGACACTTTCCTTGTTCTTATTCCTAAGGTAGATGCTCCGAAGCTTCCCTCGCAATTTCGGCCGATAAGCCTTTGCAATGTTGTTTACAAAATTATTACTAAGGTTGTTTCGGGGGTTTTTGTCCCTTGGGAGAGTTACAACACTGAAACTGGGTTCAGCAACGGACGCCTGTACCTGCAAAGCAAACGGACCGCCGGATGGTCGATGGTCCGCCTCCGAAGATTAAGTTAGTAAACGTTCGGTAATAAAATGTGCGGAAGTAAAGTTATCTGCTCGGATTCCAAACTCAGGTAAAGTGTTGTATGTTCCTTGAAAACGACAGCTCTGTAATAAATGCGAAAGTGACGTGTTGTCTCGTATTGCGTGTATCTTCTTCTCTCATAAATGTAAGAATGTCCCTATTTATAGGGTCCTTTTGGAAAGTGTGCCCTCCCTAGGATCTGGTGACCAAGGGATTAGGGCACGCCGTTTTTTAAGGGCCCCTTGGGCCTTGAAAGCCGCCATTCCTAGGGGCAATATCAGCTCGACACGTGTCACCATTTGGAAGGTCCACGTAGGTGCCCCTTCCAGTGACATGTGTCATGCTCTGACTGGGCCACTTGGCAGGGTATAAAATACCCAAATCATTTGCCCCTCACAGGGGTCACGTGTATTGCACGTGGCACCTGTGACAGGTGTCTTCATCTGACTGGTTGGATTTTCAAATTGTATTTTTGGGGGGAAAAATTAGGGTTTCCCCTTTTTATAAATAGGTGGGTTTGACTTCATTTTCGTTTTCACACCTTTGCGAATCTTTGGAGAATATCTGGACTTTTGACTTTCAAAAGACTCTCAAATACCCCAACTTTGTCAAGCATCCGACACTCGGCCTTTCTGTTCGACTGTTTTAGCCAACCAGGCGTCTCACAAAACCTTCTTCTAAGGTAACCGCCTGATCTTTCTTTTATTTTTTCTTGTATTTTTCATTTATTCGAATGGTTTCCCAAACGTCAAGGCACAGCCTAGGTTAGCGATCACCCGGTCACCAGGGACGGCTGAATCTAGAACTAGGAGTGCCGAATGCTCGTTTAAGAACTTTCCTTTAATTACATCTCCAAATCCGGCAGTGTATGTGCATCTGCAGGACACGATGGCTCGAACAAAGCAGACAACAAGGAGATATAGGCCGGATGGTTCCTTTACCATCCGGACAGTGAGACTCCAAATTCAGACGGCTCCATTAGGGTGCCAGTAAGCGAAATTTCTAAGCACCCCCCAAACCCTCTTCTGACCTTCCCCATACTCCAACATACTATTCTCCCCCTTCTTCAAGCGGCAACCCTAGTGATACTATTCTAAGGGAAGCCGACAGTCAGTACCAGTCCGAGCCTTCAGAACAGGCGTCGGAGGAGAGTCTAGGGGAGGACCCTGCTGGCCCTAGCCGGCAGTCCTTTAGCTCTAGGGATAGTTCCGATGACGACTCGGCCTCGTCATCTTCTGATAGCGCCCCAGTTAATTCAGAAGAAGCCCGAGCAAAAATAGAAACTGCAAGGGAATCCTTGTCAGTAGAAAAGGGGGAAGACTGGGCGGAGCCGAGTGCTTCCAGGCGCTTGGAACGCACCCCCTATGACAGGGTAAAGTCGTATCCCCTAGTCAAAAGTAATTCCTAAATCCTCTAACTAATGTAGATAGGGAAGTAGGGTCGAATCCACAGAGAAACGAGTCTTTCTATTCCTAATTAAATAAAGTAATCTAAATTATAAAGTAACCAATATGTAAGTTTGGATGTGAAACTAAACTACGGAGATTAAGAAAAGGGAGAAAACAATATATAAAATGATCTAGGGCATAGGTTCACCAATAAATAATACTCCAGGGTAAAACATAGTAATCAATCATTGACATTGCATAAATAACATGATTAACAGGCTCTCGCAATTTATTAATCAACATAGATCTAACAGGCTCTCGCAATTTACTAGATCTAAGTTCTTATTGAAAATAGCCTTTAATATCAAATTAACATCTGCTCGATTCATCAATTTAATATTGTTATACTTTTACAAGCCGCAATTGTAAAATGTTAAAACCATTCAATAAGAAATTATCACGCAATACCAATAATCAATAATAGTCAATCATCAATGCATCAATTAACCAGATTGTAAAGGGCCTTCACTACGTATTACAATCACACAATTAATTTACCGGTATTAAATCTCATCTCTCGAATCTCGACTTATCCATTTATAAATTAATCTGCCTATTGAAACTAGACCTAAACATTAATTCTCAACTCTCGAATCTCGAATCAATGTTGTCAAACTCATGCATAAAAGATAGGCCTAATCTAGTCACAGAGCATTAAATCCACCAATAGGAAATTAATCTAGCATTGACAATCAACAACAATAAATTACCCCTTCATATTATTTATGGATCCCCTTCAACCCTAGAAATAAAACTACTCACAATAGTAAAAACTAAACTAATCAAAGTAATAAGATAAGTCATGATGAAAGGAATAAAATAAACAACTAAGATTAAGAGAAGAGAAATCGTTACCAAAATAAATCTGGAATTAAGAG